GCAAACCATCTTTATCAACAATGCAATCTCTTCCACGATTAAATACTTCGTTATTAACACCTATCACAAAACATTATGGCTATCATACTGATCACTTCAATGGTCAAATATCTCCAAATGATTCTTCAAGCGGGAACCGTTACCAATGCCCTTATTGTTCAAAACGATTTTCGCGACCAAGCTCTCTTAGAATTCATACCTATTCTCATACTGGTGAAAAACCTTTTGTGTGCACGGAACCTGGATGTGGTAGAAAATTCTCGGTACAGAGCAATATGCGTCGACATCTTAGGGTTCATAGATTAGGAAGGACCGTCAAGAAGACTCGCTATGAAGGAGAGATTGAAGGTGTTAAAATGCTAAATCATCATACTCCTATCTTTCGAGGATATTGAGAAACTTGATGGTCCATCTATGGTCTATCACGTTTATATAAAATGAACTTTCGTATTTAATTTGTTAAAAAATCATAATATTATATATAATCAAAATTTCCACAAACGGGAAATTGGAAATATATGGGTGGAAACAAAATGCTTTTCAATTTATTTTTTCACGGCATTTTCTTTATTCGAAATTTGATATTTTCTTTTGTATAATTTTTGTGATCTTGTATTTTCAATAATTTTCTAATGAGAATGGTGTTTTAAAAACTCGGGACTTTTTTTTTCCTTAGATAAATCGATTACGTATTTTTTTCTTTTTTTTATCACATTATCATTTTATTCTTTTTCGTTTACATCTTTCAATTCGCATTAAATGTTTTTTTTTTTTATCTTGTACATATTTCCTTCCTTCGCATCAATGCTTAATTATGTTTAACATCGCATTCGCATAATTATAGCTATAGAATCTCATTTTTTCATATATGCATTTTTTTTTTTCCACCCCTTTAAAAGTATACGAAACTAATATAATAATTTTTTTTCGTTATGTTTTATGTTCCTCCCTATTATGGATTTTATTATTTAATTATGGCAAAACTTCTTTTTTACGCAAAATATGTATGACAAACGATTATTTATCCCGTGGCAAATCTGAATATTAATTTTTTTCTCGCCTTTTTTCCCCTTATATTTCATATTAAGAAGGAACGCTTTCAAAAAAAATTTTTTTTTTGTGAAATTATTTTCAAAAATCGAAACAAAGAAATCTTGATTTCCAAAAAAAAAACAGGAAGCAGAGTATTTTTCTTTTTTTGATTTAAATTTTTAATAAAGAGGTAAAAGAATCAAAAAAAAAAAGACTATTATAAACGAACAAACACGTTTCTTAGGGTCGATCGTTTTGTGTTATATGCCAAACTTTTCACTATGACGCGTAACTAACGTTCACTAATATATCTCCTGCCAATTTCCGATATAGTCAGATGCGGAATTTTATGTTTCTATTGCGGGGTTGT